TTAATGTAAATGCCATATAGTTTATATAAGGAATACTTTAATCATTGTGTTTTATTGCATGGAAGAAGAGGAATGTAATGACCACTTCATCGAAAGCCATAAGCCAGGCCCATTTGTGTGTGGTGCAACCACAAAATGAGTTCTCACCAAAACAGTATTTGGTTTTGGAGAAGCTGAATGGTGGCTTAAACGTCAAGTTGCAACAGCACTCACAGGGTGCTCAGAAGCAGAAGTGTGGTTAAGTGAAGTGCAAGAACACTGCACTTGAAGAAATGCAAAGTCAACAACGTGCCTGCTGGGGCTGGGTGCTAAGCAGCAGCTGAATGAGTGTTTTCAGGCCAGGAGTTCTGATTGGTCTAAGCATCACCTTAAAAACATAGTTCTTTTCCTGTTTATTAAACTTCACTCTGCATGAAATACTTTAGTTTTTCTTATATGTACCCAGATGTTCTCTAAGTAAGGAAAATGAAGTGAGAAATCCTCCCACTCTCCACCTTCTCTGTCATTTTGAAAGAAAATAATTTATTAAACAATTCTAGTTCCTTTCATTCCTTGTTTAGATCATGTCACTGGCAGGGTTGAAAAGTGGAGTAAGAGGATGAGCTGGAGATGTTTATCCCCTTCAGCCTTGTGTATAGGTTAATAAGGATCATTCTGCTGTTAACTGTCAGCTGTAACTGCGCTGCTCCAGAGCGTGATTATTTTGAGACAGATGCTGTTATTTTAGAACATGTGCCCCTTTCTAGATGGTAGGAAACAATAAACAAGGAATAAACAAAATCTGAGAGACAACTCCAGAAATATGCTGACAGCAAAGAAGTGTCACATCAAATCCAGCAAAGTAACTTTCACTGGATGCAGGTACATAACTACATTGTAGGCTGAAACTCACTGATAAAAGCAGGTTTCATTCATGTTTCTTCCTGAATTCCTCCATTTTGGAGGAACTCTCTAAAGACAATTAATGAACAAATTGTAAATATAACTAATGCATTTGCCCTACTTAGCAAAACAATGATTCATCTGCTTCAGAGAAAACTGTATCCAATTCTAATCTAATTATACTGTGACCCACTGATACTGGTCAGGTGATATTACAGGATAAAAAAGGAAACTAGATCATAATCCAGTCTAAAATCACACAACCAGGTTATAAGTCACTCAACAGACTATGGTAGAAAAATCAAGGTTATTTCTAAATATATTTTAAAAGTTTGATATAATATGCAGAGTTTATCTAGAGCATGCAGGTGACTGACTTACACAACAAAGTAGGCTTACTAACTTCAATGGAATTTACTCATATGAATGAAGGTTACAAGGGTAGAGGATTTAAATGAAGTGTACAGTGTACAATGTAGCTTACATAATTCTTCCAAGCCTGTCAAAACCCATATCTATATTATCTGCCTACATTATATAACACTAAGGAGCTGTGAGTTGTTTGTTCTTCTCCATATGCCTGAGTCACATATTTGCTCTTAAAAATTTGGGAGTGTATTTCACATTTTCACCACAGAAAACGAACAGTAAAAACAATATAAATGAAGCTTTCATTTTTGGGAATGTCAGAAGCAAAACAAAACAAAACAAACATCAAAATCAACACCAAAAAACACTTCCAGCACAATATCTGACTAAATAAACACAGTACTGCACATTACTTGTCTGTGTAAGATCTTGCATTTCTCATTTGCTTCCCAACAGAACACCAATGCTGCCCTTACCTAAACCATGGCATCAGGCCCTCTTTTCCTGGATTTTCTCTAGCTGAACAACAGAACATCACTCAGCATTTCAAGATGAGGTCAGTCTAGTTAAAGTATTCTCAAATCTCCCCCAAAGCATTGAGCATCTGGAAGAATTAAACCTAGTCAGTCTAGGTTTGCTTTATCTAATTTCTAGTTTCAAGGCAATTCTTTTCCTTCATCTTTACATAGGGTGCTGGTTCAAATTAATTATGGAGATACAAGTGAGAGAAATTCACATACCATCCTGAATGTGACTTCAACAGAGAATGGTAGAGTGTGGGCATTATTTGTATTCAAGGTAATACATACTTTAACTTCAACAAAAAGGTGAATCAGGGAGTAGCACTGTGTGCTTCTGTTCAGCATTACTAATGTTTTAAATGGCTCATGAACATATTCATGAATGGAAATATTAATGAAGAGATTAAGAGAAAACAGATTGCAGCACCTGATTTTCCTCTTGTATAAACTGTTGCAACTTCATCAGTTTAGAAAGATTTATCACTAATTTATACCAGTGTGATTAAGAAGCGAATCAGACCCATTGTTCCCAAGGATATTACTGGATACAGTAATAAAGTGACTCTAGGGTAGACATATCTTTGTGTTCAGAATTGAATTCCTTATTTTTTATGCATAAAATTCTGTTCTGACCAAAATCAGTGGAAAATAGATTACTGATATCAGGATCAGAATTTTACCTTCTGTTTCCTAGGAATTAAGATTCCTTTTTTGGATCCACTGTAAGCAGTTCTTTGCATCCTGGAGCATAGGAAGGTGATCACAGCTAGAGCTATATAATCAGATATGTCACTTGGTCTCATAAGGCTTCTCTGAAGTGAAGAGCAGCAGTTTTTATATGGAAAAATAAAACTCACAATAAAAGAGACTGCTTTGTCCAGCAGGTCAAGAAATCTGTGTTGTCCCAAAGATTTCCTATCTAATCTCGATAGTGCAGTCATTTGAACTGCCTGTATACACTTCTGAAGTAATATTTATAAACTCTTCATCCATCCCCCAATAAAATAACCCTTGCAAGACCCCTGTCAAATAAATAAATAAATAAATTAGTTAATAAGAGCTGTAAGGCTGTAGAGTGACTGAGCAGGCTGTGCATGCCGCAACATCTCATCCCCTGAGGATGGGTCAGTGCCGTCCGTATTGCAACCGCGGCACAGCCTCTAGGTACCCGACTGCCAGGCCAGGCCAGGCCAAGCCAGGCCCCATCTCCCCTTGCCTTGTCTGTTTCCGCCGGGCACTGGGACCCGCAGCGTTAGGCAGGACACGCCAAAAGGCCGCGCAGCCTCAGGAGGCGGCAGCCACCGGGCTTCTCCTGCCGGGGCCGCTGGAGGGAGCCCCCGGGCCGCGCAGCGCCGCGCTCAGCACCGCGCTCAGTGCTGCGCTCAACACGGCGCTCAGCATCCCGCTGAGTGGCACGCACTCAGTGGCACGCTCAACACCGCACTCAGCTCTGTGCTCAACGCCGTGCTCAAGTCCGCGCTCAGCACCGCACTCAACACCGCGCTCCGCACTGCGCTCCGCACCGCGCTCTGCACCGCGCTCAGCTCCGCGCTTCAGCACCGCGGCAGCGGACAGCGCCCGGCGGCGGGATCGGCCCGGCTCCGCCGTTCTCCGCTCGGCCCCGCGCTTCGGGTCGGGGTCCCGGGTGTGCGGAGGCAGATACACTCCAAGGGCAGCACCGGGTGCACGGCCAGTGGGGCAGCTCCCAGGGAGGAAATCACGCTCACAAGTTGGAGAGGGCGCCCATCAGGCTGGTGAGCTCTCCTTGCACACTTTGCAATGCAGCTTGTGAACGGGTAAGAGCTGCCTGGGCTGCAAGTGAGAGCATAAGTATTTGTCTCAGGGAAATGTATCCGTGCGTGTGTGCAGGAAGACTTGCTGAAAAATCTAGCACTAACAGTTCCAGCAGTGTACAGCAGTGGGATATTGAGCATGGTTGTGTTTCATTCATCAAATTTTACCAAGAGCTGGGGAACAAATGCTCAGCCCAGTCTTACACTGACAGGGCTCAGAGTAGCTCAAGACACAAGTCTGTTTTCCTCAAAGCAGCGGGAGCCTGGCCAAGGGGAAGTGAAAGCAGGTAACCAGCCCCACAGCTATGACCATCAAAACTTCCAGATGCAAGAACACTTCTCAGCTGCATGCACAGCTGGGCAGTTAAGTAATCAACATGACACCAAGAACACATTCCTCTGCAACCTCCCTCCTTTGAGGATTGTCTGTTCCACCCCTTTTTCCTGAATTCCCTAGCGCTGGGCAAATGGAGATGATAATCTGCTGTGAAATATCGATAGCGCTCAGCTACGAGAGTCTGGGAAAAGTGGAAAGGCAACAGCAAGAATCTCTAGGATTAAGCTGCCCTACAGAAGCTGTGTTTTCTTGACTTGCAGGAACATTGGGAGTTCAGTGCATCCTCAGTTTACCACAGAAGATGTCAGGCAAGTGTGAAGTTGTGCTAGTCCTGGTTTTAACTCCTTAGACTTGTAATTGTTCAGCGTCACTGAGCTATTTCCATTGCTCCACCTCTTCCCTATTGCAAACAGCTCCCTGTCCGAAGCATCACTTCTAAGGATGCAGCACAGCGGTGTTTTTCCCCTGCTCACCAACAAAACAGGTTTATGGGTGCCCTCCAAAGACAGTCTAGGAGCTCACACTAACCTCCAAGGGGAGATTTCCCCTGATTTCAGAGGAAATCAGCTTTTCCCCAATTTCAGATTTGCTTTACTCTTTGCAAGAGAGCATCATGCTTTGCTCCTCTTTTCCTGTAGTCCAGCTCAGTCCTCTGAGCATCCCTAGCAGATCCTGAGTTTAAAAGCATATTAAAGTAAAAGAAGTGAGAATTGAGAAAGTTTAGTCAAAACAGCATCATCTTTCCCATCCCAGACCCTAGACCATTATGGTAACAAAGAGGGACAGGGATAGATGTCCCGTCATCCCCAGTTCCCCCAGGAAAGCTCTTTTGAAGGATAGCAGTGAAATGAATGTGCAATGAGGGGGAATGTGTTGGTCAGGAAATGTCCCCCTCCCCAGCCTTAGGTCAAGCCTCTATCCCTGATCTTCTTGCAGAGGACCTCACAGACTGAATATTGCCTAGGGTCTCCCCTCTACACACTCACCATCAGATAATCATGAGCAAAGGAGATAGAACTTCTTGGGGTACCCCACACCTCCTCTCACCCAAGCTGATGGAGAAAGAGGAGGGTTCCCACCCCTTCCTCACTACAGTACCTGGTTGAGAGAAGTCACAGCCAACCTGGGGATAACCAGCTGCATGATGAGCTGCAGGACAGAGGTCACCAGTCCAGCCAGGATGGCCCAGGTGAGTGGCAACGGAAGCATGCTGTAGGTTGCAAAAAGCGTGAAGAGCACATAGCCAATGCCGTCCCCAAGGAGGCCACAGCCCAGACCAGCTGCCAAGATCTGGGTGGCCATGGCCACCCAAGTGACCACACCACTGTACTGCAGATAGGTGTATGAAGTTGTGTCCTTCCTGACCACCACTAAGGCACAGATCACCACCTCGATGCCAGTGAAGAAGCCCAGGAGGATGCCCTTAATGGGGTCCATGGGAGCGGAGGCTAGGGTCAGGTGGAGGAACAGCAGAGTCAGCTTGGTCAGCACGTCCAGGATGTTCATAACCACCTCGGATTTGCGCCGCTGGCCCAAGAAGTAGCGCTGGTAAAGGCGCTCCAAGTCCCGCGACTTGAAGGAGTTACGGAGCGTGGGGAAGATCACCCCACGGTAAGTGTATCCCCAGTTGAGGAAGAAATCAGAGTTGCTGGGGGCACAGTCCAGGGGCAGGAAGCCAAGGTCCCCACTGCTGCTCGTGCGCTCCGGGAAGACTTTGGTGCCTCCGTTGTTGTGGCGCTCACCACCCAAACTCCGGCCGGCTGACTGTCGCCGGAGGTGGTGGTGGTG